ACCAATTTCTTGCATAGTGCTGATTTACGCCTAAGATTCGCCTCACTAGTTGAAGGTAGACTGTCAAGCAAAAATGCAGTTTTTTGCTGGACATTGACGAGATACAGAAACCAATGACGTGCTTCATCGTCAAGAACTGGCATAAATATCGAGCAACGAAACACTCACTATATGTTATAAACAGCGAATACAAACAAATGCACTTTCGAAATTTAATGATATAGGGACATTGACTAGACTAACCTTCTGGCATGCACTGACATTTGACATAAAGACCACTCCATCATTCATCAACTTGTTACGAATTTGTCTGGTCTTCATGTTAGCGCGTACCATTTTCTGCACCATGTTTTAGTTGAGATGAATTGACATGGTACAATATAAATAACTAGGTTATGCCAAATAATTTGACATTACGGCTCTTTCCGAAAACATATTTGGCAAATACCACACATTTGGCTCTTTCACATCATGTTTTTCAGACATTGTTAGTGCCCTTGCACACAAATCCACTACCTACCATCCAACAATCAAACACAAAATCATCGTAAATCGTAACATAAATAGTGCACAATTCATACGAAAGTCGTAGTAGTATAATATTACTGATGAGCAAACCCAGCTATTCTCGCTAATGACCGAACTCAAATAACGTCGTTGCACGTTTTCAGAAAAAAAGTCCACAACGGTCAAACTGAAAAAATCAAAATAACAGAAATGTCAATTGTGATTTGCAACATACAGGTCGACCTGTTCACAGTCACGGTCGACTTTATTGGAGAAACGGTCGACCTCATGACCTAAACGGTCGACCACACGTACTAAAACACGTCTTACTTGTCCCAATTTGTGTCCCCGACCTTCTCTTTAGTAACAACATAATACAAGTCTTCAACTGGATTTTGAAGATTTTTGGTGAATCCTTCTAGACCCTCCACTTTCATGACCTACAAATCATAGTTAAAATTAAAGTAACATATGAACAGAAATACACATTATAGATGAATATGTAACGTAAACTTACCCCGTGCTTTTCGAAAGGACTCTTAGATTCATCTTCATCGCTATCATCACTAAATAATCCTTTTCTTACAAATTGATCCTTCTGTGGAGTGGTGTAGGAGTCACTTTCATATCGCGGTCTCTTGTACTTAGGAGAGGAACCCTTGCTGCCATTCGTTGTTTCACTCTGTCAAACATATAAACAAAACAAATTAGCACTAATGATAGTAATACTAATATCTTCAATCACATATGAATATACTTGGATACCTTTAAAATGTGATCTTTCAATAAATCGTCTATGCTCTGGTAGCAATTTTCAGAGTCATCATGGTCTTCTTCCTCTTTACCAAAGTCAAATTTCTTTCCTTTACCATTTCTTCCGCCATTCTCCATTCGTTCTGCACTTATATCTATGATAGCACCTTCTAGCCTCTCAAACCCGTCATGCATCATCCCAGTCATATCTGTCAGTCGAACTGACAATTGCTCCACTCTATCACGCATGGACTTCTGAAAGTCATTGACTTGTGTTTGACACACCACCAGCTTCTCTTGTGTGGCTTTCAACAATTTCATGATTTCACCCAAATCTTGATGCATTTTCTCATCATGCGTCATCGTCTAAACAATTTAAAGAAAAATTTAAATCATAATTCAACTACAAATTTCTACAATTGACCAAAAAACAAAGACGTGGTCGACCTGACAAAGTATTTGGTCGACCTGGAAGACAAATAGTGACTACCACAACCATTAAGGTCGACCTATGTTATTCCTAGGTCGACCTATCCAGCAGGAAAATAAAAATTAACAACAAAAAGTAAGTTCAAAATTAAACCGAAAAAAGGATAGGTCGACCAGATATATGGCGCGGTCGACCTTTTCAAGCACAACATAGTCATACAAACAAAGCCAAAGTCGACATTCAGGTTGAATAACCAAAAAAATAGAAACGGTCGACCTTGAAACCCATTAGGTCGACCAATTGGGTTACCTCGCAAGTACAGAAGTCCAAGTGTTGTGGCCTAAATTCAAATACGAAGAATTGTCTCGTCAGGTCGACCTGGTTGACGTCACGGTTGACCGAATGGAATTCTGCACCCAACAATATATCAAATTAGCCGGTGGAAATCACGCATTAGAAAAGAAGACGGCGAATGCTACATTAAGTCGACCGCACCTTAGACCTGGTCAACCACTTCCAGCACGTACAACAGCAACCGCGAACGATCTTCTTCACAAAGGCTCTTAATCGGAAAAAAAACCTAATTCAGACTTGGAGGCGTTGAAGGGGACTTATATTCGTATTTATAGAGATTTAGGACGTCAATGGGTCGACCCAATTCGTTTCCTTGTCCAATTGTGGAACCTTTCTGGTGTTGGAATCCATATCCAATACGGATACGGTGTGAAGGCGGTCGACCTCTTCATAATGCGGTCGACCTGTTAGGTGCAAAAGGGTCGGCCTATGAGATATTTGGGTCGACCTTTCATTCTGTTAGACCACCAAAGCGGTCGACCATATTACGTAAGAGGTCGACCGCGTCTCGGAACCCCACATACATGAATTAGTCCATTCGGTCGACCGCATGTTGGATTAGGTCGACCGAAAAGTCCATGTCACGGTGACATGCATGCCACCGTAGCAAAATCCTAAATTTTATTGTTTATTTATTTTTTAATTGCCATGTCACCTATTTAACGGTCAACTATGAGAGTTGACCGCCACATCAGCAAAAGTTAACAGAGACTAACGGCCAGTGACCAAACTTGGACTGTTAACCTATTTCAAGTGACTACGGATAGAATAAAGTAATTCTATTGGCTAACGTGATTTTTACTAGTAATTCAAGTGACCACACTTGCAATTTAGTAATTTTGTTAGTTTAGTTTATTTCACACTTAAAGCCTTCCATCTAAAACTAAGGGGAATCAAACTCCAGTCTATTATTGAAGCAAGCTGAAACCCTCCCGCACAACACTCATGCCTCAGATCTGATTGTGGAACCATCCTTATTGAAGTGTTTGGCGCGCCCTTTTGTCAGAAGAATAATACAGAGAGCCTAGAGATATAAGAATAGGAGTCAATCGGGTGGGTTCGGGTCGGGTTCATTCAGGTCGCGATAATCGGGTTGGGAGTCAAGCGGGTTTGGGCTGATTGGGTTGTGGGTTTATCAGGTTGCGGGCAAATCGGGTTCGGGTTGCAAATCAATCGGGTTACAGGTGATCGGATTGCGGATCAATCGGGTTCGGGTTGATATGATTGTGGGTTACGAACAGGTCGTCAGGTTGCAGGTTGTTCGGTCCAAACCAAACCATCGAGTTTTTTTTAATAATTAGTTATTACACTAATTTGAAACAAACTCACCAGTCCCATTTTGCAATGAAAAAAACATGAAGGTCCATTATTAAACAAATGAGTGTCTAGATTTTAGTTGAATATATCACAAACAAGTTGAATGTTGCTAGTTGTTGGTACGTTGCAGAGTATTCATTAAGGTTACAAAACCAACAGAAAAGAATAAGGATGAAGGGAAAAAAACCCACCATTTTCCCCTTCCTTAACTAAGGTCATTTGATTAAAAAAAATAATTTTAATATTATATATATTTTTGGTTAGGCTGGGAGGGAATTTTGGACCAAAATCCAATATTGGGCGAGGGTTTTCAAATATTAGGCAGGGGGTTTTCTTAATTGGGGGAGGCAATTTTAGACCAAATACTTGGGGTTCAAAAGTGATGTTGAATTTTGGATTCAAAAAATTTCCCTACATTTTTTGTCAACATCTTGTTCTTCCTTTCTTTGATATTTATCATTATAGATGATAAATTTTTTACTGATTAACTAGTTTGTTGTTCGATCCGTTGGTCGGAATGTCATTTGAATATGATATATTTACGATATACATTCACAAATTTTCAAAATATTTTAAATGTGTATTTTTACCCAATAGCTAAATTAATTGTTAAAATCAAATTAAATAATAAACTATAAAAACCAAAATATCTATCGTAAAGCATAACCATGATGAAACCCTAAACCCTAACCCTATAACACCATCTTACTTCTTAACCCTAAAATCTAAAACTAACCTCAACCCTTGACCATAACCCAAACACTGAACTCTAAACCATGACCATATACCCTACAAACCTTCAACCATGAACTATAGTTATATCTAATGAAATTGTTGGTATAAACTATGATGTATGTTATGTGAAGAATGTAATTTAAGTAAATTTTATATTCGGTTATGGAGAAGAACAACGTCCTAATCCTCTTACTCTAAACCACGATAGTATACCTTATACACTAACCTTAAACCATGGACTATAGTTATATACTTATATGTTATGAAATTGTTGGTATAAAATATAACGTATGTATGTGAAGAATGTTAGTTAAGTCAATTTTATATTTGGTTAATGGGAAGAACATACGTCCTAATCTGTATACCCTATACACTAACCTTAAAATCTGAACTCTAGTTACATGTCATAAAATTGGTGGTACGTAGGGTATGTGAAGAACGTAGTTTAAGTCAATTATATAGTATTACTAGCTTTTACCCGACCGTTGGTCGGAGGAAATTGTTTTATTTTGTATTATTTAAGTTTATCGATTTATTTATATATTAAATCCACTGGAATTTTCTGTATAGTTTTTGCTTCATTGGAAAGTAATATTATGTTACTTGTACTTGTTAATGGTAATGAGTTCATAGTTTATAAGATCATTCTATCTTACTCTTGTCCATACAATTTTCATATTTTAGAAGAGAATTTTGTATTACCACAAAATATAAATGGTTCAAAAGGTATTTATTCATAGCATTTGATGTCATTAACTTGATATCTGGTACTAACATATTATAACCTCAATTACATTTCTTATTGGCCTCGAACTAAAGTAATAAAATATAAATATGAAAGTATCAAAGACCAAAGAACTTTCTAGCAGTTCATTAAACAAATTGCAACAAATACTATAATCTACCTAGTCAATAGTTAAGTACAACACCAAGTTACCTTTGATTACACAAACAATCTTAGAAAGTGAAATAACTCAAATCAACACTGGTACTTCCTCTGTCTAATTAAATAAAACTTAAATTGTGTAATATTTTCAAAATAAAAGAATCATAACAATTCAAAAATGACATTGTTTAAATCTCATGAGTTTCTTTTTCCCAAAGTAGGTATACAGTAAGATAAATATTATGAGACAAAGGATGTGACATAAGCTTCCTCTTTTGCGGTAGTGTGAGCTCCCCTTTTGCTTGTGTTGTTGTGCAGCAACAGGGCTTAAGTCGCATGGTGTTGTAGACCGATCAATATATCAGTTGTTGAGGCAAACATCGTTGCTGCAAATAAGAGATTCGAGTCATAAGAGAAACTACAAAACCAAAGGAAGAAGGATCAAGAAATTACATGAAAGGAATCCAGAACCAAATCAATGGAGTGTTGTTAGCTAATATGAAAGCCATTAATCGAGAAGAGGGCAGCCTTAAGCATCAATCCAAAACAAATTTGTACAATTTCTACTAACTGACCTGGTTAGACTGTGAAAGTGATTCTTATTTAATTCCAAATAGATGTTGCTTTAAGATTCAAAAGCACTATGTTAAAGGTGGAACGTCAAGTTCACTAACCCAAGAAAGAAATATCTCCATATAATTTAGAGGGTAGATCATCGATCTCGTACGTGAAGACAATAATTCAAAGCATTGGCGAAGAACCCAGTTAAGAGATTGGAATGAATTAAGAATGGAAAAAAGTGAAACAAAGAAGGAGAGGCCTGATTAGCATGAAAAAAGGAAGAAAAGCAAGCAAAATTGTAGGAAAGACAAAAAGAACTAAAATACAAATGGCCATTGAAATGGTTGTCAAGCTCAGGCTTGTGGCCAGTGAATAAGGATAAAGACAAAGAAGGTCTTAACACAATAGAAGGTCTTATTTTAACATGTCTAAGATGTCAATAACTACAGTAGGAAAGCAAACAATACTAAGTTACTAACCGATTGTCTTAGAACAAATACGATGTAACATATTAGGTTGTCAAGTACGCAAAAGAGATATAATATAAAGAAGACAATCTCAGTAGATATATGGAAGGTACACAATGGATAGACTGCTCAATAATACCTCTAAACACATTGAAAATCAGCTCCACAAAGTAAGAATGAGAGGGGTCCAAGCAATAAATGAAGGGAAAAGAAATAATAGTATATCAGGTACGGATCAATTGAATGAAGTTTTTGGAAGCAAAGGCAAGACATGATTGTTCAATCCAAACCCAAGAGAATAAAATAACTAAACCCGAACAAATCCAAAAGAGAGGACTTTAGCATAAAAGGTATGGGGTGGGCTTTTACTGGGTTTTATCTCTTCTCCAATATCGTTAGCAAAAGATGGAACATGGGAGAGAGAGAGAGAGAACGAACACCCCAAAACTTGAATACAATGAGTGAAAGTATGGAGAGACTAAAAATGAATAAGTTTGGACCCCGTGAAACCCTTCATCACTGGAGTGACAACCGAGTTTCCACGAACATGCTATAACATTTAACTTCCAACACTATGCCACAACAGTAATAAAGAAATGAGCAGCAAAAACCAAATTTAGCATCAAAATGTGAAATGCAGAGTTCACAATAAACTCAATAACAAATACTAAGACCTTAATGTTAAACCGAGACGCCATTTAGCAACTTATCCAAATTATTTAGCAACTCAAGCTTCATCCAAGTTAAAAAAACAATATACTAAGCACGGTGAGCTACCACGTGGCAGGTCATTCTATGACTGGCGCAATATCATAGCAGGAAGAAGGGGCCATGTAGGAAACCCAACGGATTTTGGAAAACCCAACTATCTCACACATGATCAACCAGGATTCTACATATCACGCAATAAAACATGTAATCTTACGCCATAATCGAAAACAAAAACCCAAGGCCTTTTGGCATCCTAAAATTACCCTAAATCATGTGACTTGAAAAGTTGTAATATAACAACGAAATTAGTTCTGAAGTTCATAGACCAGTAAACAAAACCAAGATACATACATCAACAAAATCAATTCCTAATTTTACCAACAATTGATCTAACCTATTATTGAATTCATACCATTGTCAAACTTCACTTTTGATCTCTTTAAAAGAGAAGGCGATGTGGCAGGCTGCAATATAAGACTTCTTAAGTATTCAGTGGGGAGTTAAACAACTCCACTAACTGCAACACAGTTTTCCTATTAGCCAAGTATGTTAAAGTCTCTTCTATATATTTACTACAATATTTAAATTCACTCACATTGGTTTCTTGCACGTATTATACAACCAATTCCTCCTTAATATCTTCATTTGCAGGCTATAAAATACAGGAACATGCAAAAAAAGAAAAAACAACAGCATTAGCTCGTAAATAAAAACTACTACTTATAACTTAACAAAGCAGGAGCTCCTGATCTAAATTAAACTTAGCAGCTGCTCCTCCTACTGAAAGAAAAAGAAGCAATGGAGCATTTGGTATAAATTGAGCAAGCTTAATATCAGTTTGACTCAAATGAAAGACTGACATAATCTGAGTAGTGACCACTCTGGCACGTAGGCAACAAACCTACAAATTCATAAGTCCTTCCTGCTGAAATGGGGCTATCTGGGGCTTATCAAAATTTCTCAATTCACCCCTTAAACGTGCATTGAACCACCTCAAATAGGGAAGCTCGTCAGTCTCATTTAATCAGCTTTTCTTTAGAATTTCAACTTGCTTGCACAAATCTTCATTTGTATTTCTTAGCGCATATGCTTCCTCTCTAAGATTCCCAACAATGTCACTATGTTCTAGTTCAAAAGGGAAAAACACAACAAAAATTCAACAGCAAGTAATCTTACCTCAAAGACAACAGAAAAAGATAAAAGTTGATAGTGATCACATAATTGCAGTTCCTAGGTTGAATACAAGATAAACTTCGACAAACAAAAGCTGAGCAGTTCAAGGATTTTACAATAGGTAAAGTTCGTTTCTTGTTAATACTATATATTTTCTAACCATCATTGAATTCAACTTCTCCATTCATACTGAAATAACAAAAAAATATTAAGATTTCGGCATACATTCCCTGTATATCAAACTTTCCAATATCCAAATCATTTCAAAAGTACTTGTAGCATAAAGAAAAATTTACCTCTCAGAAGAAAGAAATATACACTGGAGGACTGACTTGAAAGACCTTGCTCATGTACCAACAAAACACATCATAAAACCAGACAAATGGAAGCTTGGTTCACTCTATTGCAATACACGCAGAAAGGACATAGATTAGAACCAACCCAAATCCGTAAACTCCATCTACATGTAAATGATGCAAAAATGCAACCAAATTTGAAAGATTCAATTGAATAGATTGAAGGGGTCCTGAGCATTTGTCATCTCTCGAATGAACATTCAAAATGCAATGATTTAAGAAGCAATGATGAATACATAACCACTTTTTAGAGAGAATGTCTACTTCAAGCGAATTTCACAGGTAGATTCCAATTTTTACCCCCATTTCAGCAATGAAATTATTAGAACACCATAACCCATTACAGAAACTCAACCAACTCAAATCTAACCTCATACTTGAATACTGAGAGAAATTAGGCCTTACCCCAGTGGCAATGATGACTCTCGTGACCACAGGAACCATAGTGAAGTAATTGGCAAGAGACTAACATGATCCTTCTCATCTAAGAACGTTGTCATCTCATCCAGTAAGAGCACTTTACATGCTTCAGCCAAAGCACCAACAATTGCATGCAACCCTCTGCTTCTGACCACCACTCAAAGTTTGCACGGGTCTCTGCACAGAATGCAGATTAAGATAAATCATACATGAATAAATGAAATTTGTGAACCTCCACAAGCTTTATTTTTCAAATCATCTACCTGCATGTAGGAAGCCATGTCGATTTCATTCAGGGTACGGCTTTGATTCACTCAGTTTATCAGCTTTATTGAAAAAAATGCCACATTGTTATGCTTGCACTTCTTAGCAACTAAAATCTGAATGCACTATTAGGATTACAAATTAGCAAGAGGCTATCACCATGAACCAGAGTTTCCAAGGGAGAAAAAGAAAGTTGACCCCCAAGCAACTAATGACTCTCCTAATCTATACTAACGGAACCATAATGAACCTACTAACGGCTGGTAACTGGATCCTTAGTATCTATTTACCGAGTGATTACTAATACTACCATAAATGTTTAACAATGATTTGATTAGGTACTACTAATGGACCATCCTAGCGCCTACTAACCAGACCCCTAAAAGCTACTTAAAACACTTATCCCACCCTTCAAGAACTAAAACCGGAGTTTGCACACTAAGTTTAAAGTATTCGGCTTTCGCCAGATTCATTCAGGGGTATATGTTCCCTCTTCACTTCGGTTCATCATCTTCATCGAAATTTCCACATTGTTCTCACTTAGACTTCCTGATAACTAAGTTATAAACCATTGGGAGCTAATGAATCATACAGAAAGGCAACTATGCAAAGAAATCACTCATAATACAATGAAGTAATCCATGACCATCTTCACTTCTTCTTCACGAATACTATGCAATATCTGAGGAAACATACAGGTGATGATTGATCAAAAGAAAATGTAGAGCAACCTGATGATCCGGATTCTGGAACACATAGCTCTTCGGCCTCTTGACATCGAAAGTTCCACCACTAGGGTGTAACAAACCTGCCAGAACCTGTCTAATAATCACCACAAAATCAATCAACCAGTCAATCACTCCTCTTGGCTCCAAGCAATTCCAATTAGCTTCTTTGTTCTTTTGGGTTGAAGCCCCACCCACACTCAAATTAGCTTCTAATTTGTTCTAACGACCCCAGATGAATAGGATTCCAGAAGTAAAGAATTACCTATCAGGGCCAGGGTTTGATTCTACACAGAGACAGACAAGAGGGTTAGCGTGACAGGTGGTAATTTGAACATCACCACTTTGTACGCCACAGCAGCAGGAATTGAATTGAGGGTCGAAGAAAAATTGAACGCCCTGACAATCTGCAAGATGAGGAGAAGAGGTTATAGGTTCGGCCTACCACCCTGCTAAATTAGGGATTTACGTTCACTATTGACCACGAAACTGATTGCTGGCGGCGGCCAAGAATCCAATTCCCAAAGGAAAACAAAATTACACAGGATTGCATCGGAGTAAGCCAAACACGACCTTACTCTTATCTGAGCTGAACCACCAAGTTTCAACCCTCCGATTTCCATGAACCCAAAGTCGCACGACTATTAATTCTCTTCTACCTCACAATAACTCTATTGAAGCTTTTCACCTCCTCCGCCTTCTGCACCTCTCCTTTGCTGCCTATCCTTGAGCCGCTGTAAATCCCCAAACTCCTTGTAGATGGGTTGAGTCTGAGGAAAACAAACATGATCTTCCTCTTAGTAAATCAACCCAGCGCGTACGGAGGCAAGAAAGCCAAGCAATAACAAACCCTTGTCCGAGCTGGTACAGTGGTGCTGAGACTGGGGATATGTAATCGACCACTAGAATAAATTAAGGCGGCAGCAAAGAAGGAGGCCGTGAGGAAGATAGTAGTGCGTTGGTGAGATTGGTGGTAACTGCTAGTAGAAAGGAAAACGGGGAATAGGTTGTGGTTCCAAAAAGGGACATCTGAGATGCAATTTGGTGCGGGAAGGAGAAAGGAAAAAGGGGAAGAGTGGTGGTCGTGCATAGTTCCGTCGAGGAAAGAAAAAGGGAGGAAGGATGGTTACACACTTCCACTCGATGGAAGAGGGGGAAAAAGCCGTCAAATGGGTTGTTATGTCAGCCTCCGAAAATCACTCTAAAGACAGAAAATTTTGAATGGTGGTAGCAATTTTATGGTTCAGCTATAAATAATACTGTTGATTGATTCGTTCCAATGTTGGAAATTTGGTTGAACCGGATTAACCAAGTCAAACCGGTTTTGGGTTGGACCGACCAACCGGTTTGGGATTAGACCGACCGAACCAATATTCTAATTTCATGAAGAGACACATCCCTTTGGCCTAGAGGCGGTTGCATTATTTTATGGATAAGGATAACCCTATGGATAAAGGCAACCCTTCATATGGATAAGGATAACCTTTCATATGGATAAAGGCAACCTTTCGTATGGATAAAGGAAACCTTTCATGAAACAATGCATGGATTCGGCCCCTGTAAATATATGTGTGGGGTGGATGCTGCCACACACGATCAAACAGATTCTTCTTCTTTCTTCCAAAAATTTCTAAGTATGCTTTAGAGTTCTTGAGCCTAGAACCTAAAGTGGTGATAGTTTTATCCTCGGGAGAAATTTCATGTAACCAAAGGCTTCGTAGAGGGTGGAAATATTCTTTTCGGAAAGTGAACGTTGTTCACGACTCTATCATAATCCTGGTCACCCGGTCTCGGGCTATCGCACGTATACCCTCGTTCCTAAAAGTCCCAACAATCGAAAAGAATATTTTTCGGTACAATGGCTCGAACCGCTCTTTACAAGAAACTGGTTCCGGTCTATGGAATTATGAGAATGTTCAATGATTAGTTTTTCATCGATGATAGTAGAAGATGGATTTTCTTCATAGTAGTCTCATGTGTATTCCATATTCGGAAGGTTACTTGGAAGAGGGATGATTCGAAGATGAGGAAGAAGGAGAAGGCTTCATAAAATGGAGAAATAGAAGAATGACAATTGCCTTTGTGTAGGTCTCATACTCAATGGATAATTTGTCTAATTCTCTATTTGACGTTTTTGAAGTTCTAGACATATTTGGATTTGTCTAGTGGTTTGGTGGTGTGATTTTGTCTAGGGGTTTATGTTATTTAAACCAAGGAGACAAAATGTATATAAAATTTATGATGATTCTGGTAATGGAGTCATCGTATATTTGTATGTATATGACATGCTTATCTTTGGAACCAATCAAAGATAAGTGAACTTTGATAAAAAGTTTTTATTTCAATTCTCCATGTAGGACATGGGGGAGGCAAATGTGATTATGTGTATTGAATCAACCGGAACGACAAGAAAGAGTCCGTCTCTCAATTTTTCTGCATGAGAAGGTACTTGCATAAATTCCATAGTAGCAATTGTAGTGAGTTAAAGACCCCAATGGATCCAAGTATGGAAATTATGGTTAACAATGGAAATCAGTTTTGCAATTGGAGTATTCCATGTTAAATTGAGGGCTCGATGTATGCATGACTTACATGATGCTAGATATCACATATGCGATAGAACAATTAAGTTGGTACGTGATGAATCCTAGTTCTCATCATTTGAAATGAAATGAGGCGTGTACTAGGATATGTCAAAGACACACTGTATTAACTTATAGTGGCATTTCCATCAATTTTGGAAGGATTTGTTGATGTTAGTTGGATTTCTCATGTTAAAGGTGATACTTCAATATTGAGATGGGTCCTCTTGCTTGGGAGAGGTGTCATATTTTGGGCCTCTAGAAAGCAAACTTGCATCACTAAGTTTCACTATAGAATCAAAGTTTGTGTGGTCTTGGTTTCTCTTAGAGAAGAGACATAATTGTTGAGAGGTTTGGTTTATCTTTTGTGATAGTAATGCTAATTTAGCTAAGGCATATAGTCAATTTAAAATGACAAGTATGGTCATGTGGGAGTAAGGCACGGTAAAATCTGTGAACTGATCATTCATAGAGTTGTGTCTAGACAATATGACCATACTCGAGATAATTTGGTTGATCATTTGACGAATTGGTTAACTAGTGACTTGGTGATCAAGTCTGTGAAAGGGATGGGTTAAAGTCCATATAATTTCTGGGGGTTAAAGACACATTTGGTCACTGAGATTACAAAATCGGGACATATTTAGTCACTAGAAAAAGTTAATATCAAATTTGGTCACTACAATTACTAAAACTGGACACATTTAGTCACTCGCCGTTAGTCTCCGTCCAACTCCGTTAATGAAGTCCGTTAAGTGCTGATGTGGCAAACAGAATTGCCTAATCAGCCGGATATAACCCAACAAAAATAAAACCCGACCCGCCAAGTCATTATAACCTGCCACCTCATTAAAACCAACCCATGACCCAACCCCACCCAACCGTGCCTCACCACACTGCCGTTACCACCGCCGCTGACCACGCTGCTCCCGCCCGGCCCGCTGACCATGATGCTCCCGCTGCCGCTGCTGCTCGCCGGATCGCTCTGGACCTCGCACCCGGCGGTAAGGGCATCGGATTTGGCTTGTTGTTCTTCATCAAACCGGCGACCTCAGATTGACTGCCTCGGGATTCGGGCTGACGGGGTTTGTTGAATTTGCCATTCCGGTAACTCTCCAGCCCGCTCAACATCGATCTGGCTTTGGATCTGCCGATTTGATTGTTCTTCCCCTTCCCCGTGGGCGGCAGATATAGGGTTGAGCTGGAATCGCTCTTGGTCCGCCTCAATTCAGGGGTAGGGATCCAGGGGAGAAAGAATTGCTTCTTGTTAGGGATTGAGGAATACAAGCTGCTTTCCCCATCGCTGCTGCTGCTCTCATCGTCGCCCTTCTTGTTGTTCTTCTTCTTCCCGCCCATCAGATCCCGGTACCCGACGCCGGAGGACCCGGAGTAGAGCGGCATGCTCGCATCGAGCTGTCGAGCACGGCGACGCCGACGTTGAGGAGGGCCTGCGGGCGGCCCGACGGGCGGCAGACACTTCATTAAAACCGCGAGGAACTAGTTGCCGGGTCGGAGGACCCGGTTGTTCGGGCGGGTCTGGTTCCGGGGCGGGGCGACGCTGTCGACGAGGAAGGAGGTGAGAGGTGCAGAGGTGGGAGGAAGGAGGAAGAAGGGTTGGGTAGGGTTGGGTCATGGGTTGGGTTGATTTTAATGACGTGGCGGGTTATAATGACGTGGCGGGTCGGGTTTTATTTTTGTTGAGTTATCTCCGGTTGATTAGGCAATTCTGTTTGCCACATCAGCACTTAACGGACTTCATTAACGGAGTTGGACGGAGACTAACGGCGAGTGACTAAATGCGTCTAGTTTTAGTAATTGTAGTGACCAAATTTGATATTAACTTTTTTTAGTGACTAAACATGTCCCGATTTTGTAATCTCAGTGACCAAATGTGTCTTTAACCCTAATTTCTGGTAATGGGACACCCAATCATAGTTAGTAAAATACGGTACGGGAAAGTTACGTAAAAGATATGTACGGGTATTATACTTCATCTTTAAGCTAAAATTACGTTTAATAGTACGTTAATAGTCATAAATATATAAAATTAATCATTTTAAAAATAAATAAATATATAAATAATAGTAAAGTTAACAATTTAATTCGTAAAATACGGATAATAAACGTGTTATACGGGTTTTATACGTGTTTAGTACGGGAACCATGAAATGAACGGGGGAAAATGAAACGGGTTGACAATAATACGGATACGGAAGTTTTAAACGGATAAAGTACGTACGGGTACATATACGTGTATTAAACGGAGTATTTACTAACTATGCACCCAATTCCCCTCTAATACAATGTTAGAGGCTGAATTCAATGTGGAAAGCTTATTACAAGAAATTGAAGCACACAATTTGTCATCCCGATGTATGTGTTTGTTATCCTGCATGAGAGAAGATGATGAAGTTCAAACTTCTTAATTGAATCTTTGAAAAAGTGTATTATGCGGGTACATGAATAAGAGATTCAACCTACGTAAGCATGAAGTGTAGCCGCTTCAAGAAACCCGGACTTTGGTTTCGTGTGCGCTTATGAGAAGGATTGGACACATGTCGGGTAATAGTGTCAAGGCGCTTAGAAGTTTTGAAAACTTAAGTGTATATTATCTTCGAATATTCATATGAGTCAAAGGGTTCAATCGTTAACGACACCCTTTGTATTCGAGTATTTGTCACTAGATCTGAATCCGGCCCGTTGGCCGGATACATTTTATCAATGGTATAAACAACAATAGTAATTTTATTTTTATTTTATATCATAAGAGAATCCAAATATTAAATTATTGGAAAAAATTAAAAACATGAATCATAAATAATGCAAGGGAATCAACTCCTAAAAAACTTTTCCAGACCACATTTCGATTAGAAGTTACTCAAATTTTCTTTTGAATTACTCAATTGCTTTGTGATTATTAGCATTATCATCCCACCAATAACAACGCCTTCATCTTCATTAATAGCACCTCTATTTCCAAAATCAATATTGTACTATTATTCTCTTGCATTTAAATAATCTCTTCCTACTTCTCCTAAATTTCATTGAAGCTAAATTTAATGATAATCTTTTTACAAATACAAAACATATTTTTACGCAAATAGATATTTTCCTTTCAAGTAATGAATATTGTATGAGATTTGCTCTTTTGGCTAACTTTTTATGTCTATCTCCACAATTAATCGATGTGGTTTAAATCCTGTCAGTCACATTGCTTTTTAGTTCGACCATTTCAAAGAAACATGCATGTACAAATAGAATTTTGTGGCCCTATATTTTATATGGTAAATGAAGGTCTATCAGAATATCAAATAATCGTCCTTGTGTTTGTTACGATCGAACAACCTAAGGTGAAGGTTGACCTATTTGATCCAGGCGTACCTTTTTTGTCCACTAATGGAAGATATATTCTTTTTATAGAAATATAAGAGATCTATTTAATGGAGAGTAACTGAAGCCCTATCAAATTCCATTTGATTCGAATAATATTTTTATAATAAGTATTGGAATAAAATGCTGGAACTCCAAACTAAAAATAGAAAATGTCAAACCCAACAATGAACTTATTACTTCTCCATCGGTGGAATAGAAAAGAATTAGGAGTAAAAGCAAAATAGAAAAGTAAAAGGACGCTTGTGTCCTGACGTGAGATGCGCTCAGGGTTCCAATTAGTGTTTTAACCCCCTCCTCACGCAGAATCCCTTTAAATGAGTGTGTAGAAAGTGTAATATACTAAGGTGAAAATTCAATCGTCACGATATTATCATTTATGCTTAAGTTTTGTTGGAAGAATGTTGTGATTTTAGTGAATTCTATGAATACACTAAAATGGGGGAGGAATGTTGGAAATTTGGTTGAACCGGACTAACCAAGTCAAACTGGTTTTGGGTTGGACCGACCAACCAGTTTGGGATTAGACCGACCAAACCAATATTCTAATTTCATGAAAGAACACATCCCTTTGGCCTAGTGGCGGTTGCATTAATTTATGGATAATGATAACCTTATGGATAAAGGCAACCCTTCATAAGGATAAGGACAACCTTTCATATGGATAGTGGCAACCTTTCATATGGATAAAGGAAACCTTTCGTATGGATAAAATCAACCTTTCATGAAACAATGCATGGATTCGACCCCTATAAATATATGTGTGGGGTGGATGGTGCCACACACGATCAAACATATTCTTCTTCTTTCTTCCAAAAATTTATAAGTATGCTTTAGAGTTCTTGAGCCTAAAATCTAAAGTGGTGATAGTTTTATCCTCGAGAGAAATTTCATGTAACCCAAGGCTTCGTAGAGGGTGGAAATATTCTTTTCGGAAAGTGAACGTTGTTCACGACTCTATCATAATCCTGGTCACCCGGACTCGGGCTATCGTACATATACCCTCGTTCCTAAAAGTCCCAACATCCAATCGGGCGGGTTCAGGTTGGGTTAATCGGGTTTGGTTTAGTCGGGTTGCGGGTCTTTGACTTTTAGTCAAATCGGGTTGCGAGCGGATTGCGGGTCCGGCAAGTTGTGGATTTTTTGAATTTTAGTCAAATCGGGTTGTAGGGGGTTGCGGATCGAGTTGATTGGGCAGGTCACTCGGTTCGAGTCATGTTTTGACACCTATGCCTAGAGGCTAGAGAGCAGAGAATGAATAAAGGAAGAAAAACAGACGGAAAGGCATTCGAATTAATCCGAATTCTTGTTTGATTTGGGCCTCAGCCCAGCCCCGAATCCGATGTTGGGCTTATCTGAATCGCATTATTAAATTATGTGGTCAATCCACATAATCATGCAAAGAAAACATATTTGAATTTGATGTTCAGCTCTTCATAGGGCTGGCAGAACGGTTTTCGGTTAGCAGTTAACCGGTAGGTTACGACCGAACCGATCGGTTTTCGGCTAACCGAAAACCGCTCTGTATTGGCATCGGTCGGTTGCCGGGGGAGAGGGGGAGAGGCTCGGCTAGCCGATTAACCGCGATCAGTAACTGGCGGTTAACCGGCTAACCGACCACCGCCCCTTGAGTCAAAATGAACCCGCAGCCCTACCCAAAACGACCCCTTCCCCCAGCCCCAAAACGACCCCTCTCCTCTCCAACCCTAATCGCCACAACCTCCTGCAACCTCATCTCCACTTCTTCTTCTTCTTCCTCCTCACAAAGAACTCCCCAGCCCCAAAACAACCTCATCTCCTCCTTCAACCTGCTTCAATCCACCCATCCCTCCTCTTCCCTTCGGCCTCCCAAAATACCTCATCCGCTCCCCTGTTCCTATCTCCAATGCCAACGTCTCCATAACACCCTAAAATGAACCAAAGGGAGACGGCGGTCCTTCAGATCTTCACGGCGGAGCCAAACACCAAGGCCGGGACGGCGGCGACAGCAGCAGCAAAGGCTACGACGGGAGAGGCAGAGGAGGCGGCGGCGGCAGAGGCGGGTCCGGGAGTTGGAGTAGGGGAAGAAGCAGGGGACTCTGCCGACTGAGCCACGTTGACGACAGCGGCGAGAATCAGAGCCAGAGTGGCAGCGAGAACAAGGGTCTTGGAGACAGCCACCGCGAGTCGTCTCATGCAGCGCTTTTCTTCCGGTGGAGGAAGGGGAGAGAGGAGAAGATAAGGTTCTGGTGGAGGAAATGGTGGGGAAGGAAGGAGAGAGAAGAGAAGGGTCTGGTGGAGGAAGGGGAGAGAGGAGAAGATAAGGTTTGAGATTGAGTGGTGCAGATTTTTTCTTCTTCTTCTTTTTTTTTTTTTTTAAAGATAGTTTTCCAGTTGGCCGGCTAACCGAGTCTAAAACCGAAACCGATCGGTCGGTTGGCCGGCTAACCGTGACCTCTTTCACGGTCGGTGGTCGGAAGCTTTAGGGGGTGCCTTGGTTTAACCGATAACCGGGTTTTCGGTTTTCGGTTAAACCGAAACCGACCGACTGCCACCCCTATGTTTTACTATGGAAGATCCATGAAGCTTACATTGATTTAAGGAAGAAGAAAAAACGAGGCTAGCTAGCTAGTACCACTGCCAGTAAAGTGAAGACGTATGGAGTATGGATGATCCGAAGCGCGGACCACTCACGGGTTGCGACCAATAATAGCCACTAGACAGCCGCAGTTGCAGTAACAGCAGCAGCTAGCAGTGGTCAGTAAAAGAGAAAAATAATAACAATAAAATTAAGAAGGGAAGGGAAGGGAATGGGGTTTGGCAGTATAGACATAGTGAGAAATCTGAGAAGTACTAGTGGCCCAGCAGGAGGCGATAGGACAATTGTATTGGTATCTCTTCTTTCTTTCAAAGAAGCGATTGATAGACATCATTGACCGGTCCTCTTTGACCAGCCCTACCTCTCTGCCTCTGCCTCTGCCTGTGCCTGCCCAAAGTACACACTACTACCCCACGCTCTGAACCCAACTAACCTCCGCATAAATGATGGGATCAGAAAATGCAGCCAAACCAAACCAAACCCAACCGGCCAATTCATTTCTGTTCTCTGTCAAATCAATTAGCTGACACCCCAAAACAAACCCAAGTACCCAACCATGAACCAACCAACCCTTCATTGATTAAATTGTTGTACTACGTACCCACTGTCTTATATTTAAGTGTACGTAAAATTAAATCACCAATGTTGATCACGTTAACTAGCAACTAACCATGCATATATTAATCAACACAAAGAATTAATTATCTATATAGGCATAGTCAAGAACAAGAAGGAACACTTATTGGATATATAATCCGGACGGTCCTACCTACCTACATATGGCGTACATTCCAATCCAATCCAATCCAGTCCAGTCCTCACATACATAGTGTACACCAATTAATGAGAGTATTAATTACCATCTGACTTTTTGACTGAGTCGAGTGATCTCCTTCTCCTTCTCCTGGATGAATGATCATCTGGATCGACTATATGTACATGAGATTAATAAACAACAACTTAATTAATTTCCATGACTCACTATGAGGATGATGTTCTTCGATCGACAAGGGTGGCCGGGGTGGTTTAATTTGGGGTTTGTTGCTTCATCGATCAGTGTGGCGGGGGTGTAGAAGAAGAAGAAGGGTTGTGGGTTTTGGTGCTATTATTATTGTTGTTATTATGGGAATTAGGAGGAGGAGGAGGAGGAGGAGGAGGAGGAGGAGGAGGAGGGGAAGAGAAGGAGGAGGAAGAAGCGAGAGCTAGAATGGAGTTGGCGAGCTTATTAATGGCGTCCACCAACCCGTGGCGGGTCATCTCCGCCTTGGACTCCTCCATCTTGAGCCTCCGCTCCTGCAACCTCACCATCTCCCTGTGCCGCCGCTCTTGTCCATGCTCGCACGCCTCAATCGCCTCCACTATCCTCCATATCCCCCTCCTCCCCTCTACTACTCGACCTCCACCATCCCCCTCCTCCCCTGCTGATGACGTGGCCGGGCTGGGTCCTTCTTCGGCGCCGCCGCCGGGTAATGACGTCCTCATCCTCTTATTAGGCGAAGGTGATGGTGACCCCGAGTAGTCTTCTTCTTCGCTCCTTTCATCTGAGCTACCATCACCACACATCTCCAAACCCATCAATATGCCCAACAAACAAACAAACAACAAACAAACAAACCCAATTAATTAATTAATTTATGCTGATCGGATTATATATTATGTTGTATAATTTTTTTAGATAACGCAACGCAACGCAACGCAACGCAACGATGATATGCATATAGATTGAGAATCACTACACCAAATCTATAATCAATGCAGAGATCGAGTAGCTACTGTGGGTGACTGGTGAGGAGGAGACTCGCTTAGAGGCGGCGGTGGTAGAGGAACCGCAGCCAATGGTTGCGGTGGTGGTACGGCTGGAATTTGATGGTGGGGTGATGACGTCATCATCAATAGAGGTAGAGGTAGAGGAGGTTGTTGTTGTTGATCACTAACAACGACGTTAGTTGTTGATCTGTCAATCATCACATTGCCTATAGCCAGCGACGTAACAAATAAGTTGTTGTCGCCGGAAGTAGGGGAACTCGGATGGGAAGAAGTAGTGTTCCCGCCGCCTCGCCTCTCGACGACGTGGACGAGGGCGTCGTAAATCTGGAGGAGCATGTTGGTGGGAAGGTTCCGCTCCTTCCGCTGGTTCTTCTCCAGCTTCCAGTAACTGGCGGGGGCGGGGGCGGGGGCGGGGGGAGGGAATGGACATGGACATGGTGGTGATGTAGTAGTAGTAGTGAGTCGGCGGTGGTAGTCGCGGACTTTCTTGTAGTCGCGCATGAGGTTGTCCCACTTGTCGTTGCACTGGTTCTGGCTGCGGAAGCAACCTTTCCTCCAGCAGTAATCCTCCACCCACTTCCACCTAAGCTCCGCCGGCTTGTTCCCGCTTCCGCCGCCGCCGCCTCTCTTGGTTCTCCTCTCCTCGTCCATCCGCTTGGCTTCGATCAGCACCATCGTCTCGCTCACCGTCCAGTTCCCTTTCCTGTAATCCCTCATCATCCCCCCTCCAACTCCAACTCCAACACCACTCCCTCCGCCGCCGCCGCCTTGGTCGCCCATCATTTCCCCCTCCTTCCTTCTATAAGATGCCAAGAAAGAAACCAAGTACGTAATTTGAGCTAGTCAACTCAAAGGTAGATGTGGAGAGAGATGGACAAGAGAGATACACGAAGAGGTATTGGATTTGGAGGACGGAGAAGCTCTTTAATTTTATGGCTCTATGTGTGTGTGTTGTGCAGCTTTCTTTCTATGTTTTGGGGGGCTTGGGCTTGGATTTGGTGTTGTACTGCTGCCTGCCAAATGCCAATGAGGGATGGAGTATGGGTGTTCAAACCCCAGTCAAATCTCCCTCCTAAACATTTGCTAATTTCAGAATCCAAAAATGGACATTCATATTATTAATATCCTAAGGTCCTACCATTGCAAACTAGTGCAGAAAGGGCAAAAAGGTGTCATAAATATAACTTTTGGTCAATCACATACATCATATCTACTATCTAAGCCTCGTTTGGTTTTTCTCATTATTTGGTTGAGATAGTTATAATACATGTATTTTCGACAATGTATCTTTTTTTTGTGTGTTTTTTTTCTTCCAAATTTATCCCTACCTTTTTATGTGTCTTGCTTTTTTATATTACAAACAAAGGGTAAAAGTGATATTTTACCCAAAAATTAATATAACTTATTTAATTAAATAACACAATAACTATTACCTAAACCAATCGATGCAAACTACAATACACCGATTCTTTTTATATACATGTATATTATTATGCATGCATTGATAACAATGCATCTATTTAACTATCACCAAAACCAAACCACCCCTAGATGATAGGGTTTCGATTGAGTTGAATTTTTATTTGGTTAGTGCCCAAAATGAGTTATGAAATGTTAGGATTATTATAAATTAATTGGTACTAATAAATAGAGTTATTGCAAGCTAGAGATTCATGTACGATATGTTAGGATTGTGTGTATTCTAATACTCTATATTCTCGTTCCGCAGTTCTGCAGGCTGCCTGGTTAGCTCTCTGCCCACCAAAGAAATGCTAATTAAACGTTTTCTGAGCCACTACTTTTGTTGAGTCATGATTAGGGAGGGGACAAGCTAGCGGATATTCTCGTTGAGCAAACTCGGTTCGGTTGGCATTGAATCTCATGATTGCAGGGATCATGTACACAAAAATCTTCCTCCAAAAGACACCGCAAGTTCGCAAACACCATATCCATCCATACCCCCAAAGCAAGCACCAGTAACAATATTATTGTATGTAGCTCAATATTATTGCTTTGGCATAGCGTTGTTGAATCGATGTTGCATGAGAGGCATTGGGTATCATGATTACGCAGATCATCTGCCCCAAATCTTCATCAAAAGACTGATCCGAAACATTTTAGCCTTTTAATTATCATCATCATTTGGATTCTCTGTGCCTCAAAGGCTCAAACACCCAAAAAGTTATCTATCTTTTCCATTTTTACCAGCAAGCTATATATTTAATATCAAACACCGAAAGGGAGTTCACGTTTTTTTTTTATAAATTATGAAAAGAGTAATTACAAGCTTCATCAAAAACTTTTCTCCTTATTTATATAAATTTGTTAACTGATTTAATTGATAAAACAAGAGATTTGAAATTAAGGCTATGTTTGAAATCTACACATGTGTGTTGACACTTTTGGGACAAAATATGAATGAATGAACCAAGCCAAACAACCTCTTAATTATTGTTAAACACCCCCCCCTAATTAGGACGTCAATTAAACCTCCACGATCGTGTGTAACCTTGTATAGATTAGATATGGGTGTAACTATAAGTCGCAAAAAAAAAAATGAACAGGATAAAGGTGGAAATGATTTTAGACTCCCTCGCCTGAAACTCATACTCATATTCGTGCCCCACAAAGGATATTTCTATATATATATACAAAAAGAATAGCGATTGGATGCTAAAAATATTGATGTTATTATGGAGTAATAGATGTGGATGTTTAGAATTTGAATTAATCACAGTTATATCTTTTGTTGACTTCAATGTTATTAGCTCTATTTTATAACATAACAAAAATTTACATGTTTAGTAAGCTTTAGTGTATTAGTTCTAGTCATAATAATATTGAATATACGGGGCTTGTATTACTTACGTATTTTTTTTATAAAAATTATCCACGTATATTAAAAAATCACAAATATGATGATGAAATTGCAAAACCTATCCTCAAATTAATATAAGGCGGATATGAATTTAAGTATTTAAAAGAAAAAAGGGATAATTTAGATAATTAAACCTTCCTCAAACTAGCCCATTCCCATCCATATTGTTGTTTTTTTCGGGACCATCCATATTGCTAATCCTCTGTTCTACATTTTAGATACAATACTTGTTATTAAAGTGAATACGGCTAAATTGCAAGTTTGGTCACTTGAATTACTAGTAAATTTCACGTTAGTCACTAGAATTACTTAATTCCATCCGTAGTTACTTAAATTAAGTTAACAATTTAAGTTTGGTCACTGACCGTTAGTCTCCGTTAACTTTTGTTGATGTGGAGGTCAACTCTTATAGTTGACCGTTAAATGAGTGACGTTGCAATTTAAAAATAATAAAAATAATTGTTTTTTTTATTTTCCAGCTAATTATTATAAATTAAAAAAAATTCCTAATTCCTTTAATTATTATTTTTCAACCGTCGCATGAATCGTCCTCATCGTCTCCGCCGCTAACTTCGCCGGCGTCACAATTCTGCTACCCACCGTCCTCCAACACTCCGATTCCTCCTCCGCCACCAACCTCCTCTCTGGCTCCAACCCTTCACACGGCATCATCCTCGCCCTCGACCCCAACCCTGCCACGATGGAGACGGTGGTAATGGATGGGGATCTCAAGGGAAAATCAAATCCGACGTGGAATTGTTTTTGAAATCGAAGCAGTACTACTACTGCCTCGACCGCGTCTAGAAGTGGAGCTACCTCTTCCATGTTGTAATTTGTTCGCCGCTCTTCAAATCAATGCCCTGGGAGAGGGGATCCGCCGTCTTGGTCGAAATCAGGCTGTCGATGTCGAACCCGATGTGGTTCTCCTTCGGGTGGCTGAAGTGGAAATCGACCCGGGTATCAAACTCCACCGCGACTAACTTGTTCTTGGTCAACTGGGAGGCATAGACCAGGTCTAGGTAGCCGCCGGATTGTCGAGAGTGCTGATGATTAAAGGAGAGATCAATAATCAAAGCCCGGCTTGTGCACAAGTAAAAAAAAGTGAAACGGTAGAAAAGAACAGAAAAAATAAAAGTACCCCCGGCCGAGGTCGAACCCTTTCTTCTTTTTTCTAATTTATAATAATTAACCAGAAAATAAAAAAATAATTATTTTTATTATTTTTTAACTGTCACGTCACTTATTTAACGGTCAACTCTATAGTTGACCGTCACATCAACAAAAGTTAACGGAGACTAATGGCCAGTGACCAAACTTGAACTGTTAACCTAATTTAAGTGACTACGAATGAAATAAAGTATTTCTAGTGACTAACGTGAAATTTACTAGTAATTCAAGTGACCAAACTTGCAATTTAGCCAAGTAAATAGTCACCCCTACAATTACTGAAGTTGTTTTTCTTACAACAGGGATATTCACCACTACAATTACTGAAGTTGTTTTTCTTACAAAAGGGATCACTAAAGTTGTTAAAAGTTGGGTTTGGTGGAGAAGTTGAAACTTGAACCAAATGGCAGTGGGCGTTGAGGAAAGCAAATGCAAATGTATATGTATCATGTATGTAGCGTGGGGCAGTGATGAGTAGAGTAGTGTGGAAATCCAAGGCGTAAAGGCTAAAGCAAAAAATCAATTTCCTCATGTAAGTAATTATAGATTCACAGCAGCGAGCGAGGGAAAGAGAAGTACTGTACAGCCAAAAGGGGATTTGGACGTTTGTGTCAGCTTGGGAGTAGCCAATTAGGTACCAAATGGTAAATTTGCATGAGCCAACAAACAAAGAGATGGGATATGGGAAGAGTTTTAGTGAGAGAGAGAGAGACATTGAAAAGCCTAGAAGATGCCAGCAGCAGCAACAGTTGCCAGCTATTGCATCAGACTCTGAGGAAAGGAAAGGAAAGGTGTACCCACAAGGCCACAATGGCAGAGCTGCCTTTGACCAGCTAGGGTTTTGACCAGACTTTCTGAGAGAAAGCAAAGCAAAAAAGACGCAAGAGGAGAGGACATCAGGACAGTGGGTAAAGAAAACTAACAATTACAGGGTTAGCCCTTTACCCATCGACTCGTCCCTTTCGTTCCAAGTTCTTGGACACTAGCCTGCATGCCCCATTTTAAGGGTACAATCTACGGTGTTAATCAGAAATCAAACTGAAAGGAGCTCATTATTACTTATTAGTAGGGCTGGGCATGCGGGCGGATCATCCGCGGGTTTGGGCCGACCCATCCGCATTTGACCCGAATTTCGTTAAGTGGGTGAGTCTGTGGGTGGGTGACGGGTTGCGCTGGAAGCCATTCGCCGGGTGGTGGGTGGGTTGTGGGTGAGTGCGCGGGTGACCCGCTCAACCCAACAGCAAAAAAATCAAAGTCGTTGGCGCTAGAGAGAAAAGAGTGGAGACGTTAGATATAAACTCGGACTGCTCCTGGAGTTTGAACCCCAAAGCCAACCTTCCAAATAGAGATCCCCTCTTCTTCCCTTTACTTTTTCCTCTAATTATTGTGCCTAGATCACCGCTCTTTCCTTTGTGGAATTATTTTCCTTAGTTCCTTGCACCTAATAATCTTCTCAATCTGTAGAAAACTCTTCATAATAGAATTTCTATCCAATTTAAGAACTAATTCGACATTTTTCGCCCTATTTCAACTTCTGGTTACCCTCGATGATTCTCTTCACCTATTATCATGTCAAGTTGACTCCTTTATATTATATACATTGTGATGTGGGTGAACCCACAAACCCACCCGCATCATCCACCATCCGCCCGACCCAACCCGAGACTAAATCTGGGTGGGTGGTGGGTTAAAAATTATCAATCCGTTTAAGCGCGGGTGGGTGCATTTTATGGTCAAAATCCATCCGACCCACCCAATGCCCACCCCTACTTATTAGAGACAATCTCCCATAAGAATGTTTAAGGGGTCGTTTGGATGGAACATTTGTAAAACGGGTCAATTTAGAACAAATGTTTCATTTCATAAAATGAGTCAATTTTATGAGAAATTTGT